GCAAGGCCAATGACCATCTGACTTTGACTGTGACCTATATGCTAAAAATAGGTTTTTCAAACTTCGTTGCCGCCGAGCGCATAGTGTTTCAGAAACACATCTTGTTTAATTTGAAAGTTTGGGTTAAAATTCTAAACAAAATATATATTACATGTACCTGATATTTAAAGTCGCTTGGTCCATTTTGAATCGCTAAAAATATATATTCGTTTTTCTTCTTGAAAAAAAAATTGTCTATAAATTGTTTAAACTTTCGTCAAATTATATCCCAAAAGTCTTTTTCTTTTAGAGGATATCAAAATTCAAAAGTTAAAAAATAATTTTTGTTAGGTCACATAAAAAACAATCCTATGTTTATATCGGGTGAAATCACCTTCGAAAAATTTAATTTATCGCTTACAGGTATATATCATGAAGAACAAACCCGAGCATTTTTTTCACAACAAAGTACACGGACAATATTTTAGCTCCTAGAAAAAGAAAATTAAAATATCTGATTTTCCATTATTCTTTAAATATGCATATTAATATAAAATTTACTATGTATTATATTCAATTAATTTCTTCATTTTTAAAAGATGTATTTTGGCTAAAAGCTTCTCTAATGCAAAAAAAAAAAATGATCGGGTTTGAATTATTTTCATTATTAGATATAACCGATAAATTATTTTTTTTTAAATTGACTCCACAACAGATCTTAAATTCCCGTCAGGAAGTACTGTTTGTCAATATGGTTTTTGATCTTTCCATGTAAGGATTGTTGTAATAAACTGTTAAATCCATCATAATTTATTTTTATATACTATCTGTGTAATGACATACTTTTATTGTGTAAGATAATATGTGCCTGTTTCGGATTAAGCGGCTTTAAATGTTATCCTGAAAATATTCTGAATCATTAGGAATGATTGATAAAGGAGGGGATTCAATGTTTTTCAATTTACACATAGAAAATATTAAAAGCTTTTCTGCATTTTGGACAAATTTTTTTGACAAAAAAAGTGGGATCAACCAGCAGACTAATTAAGAAATCAAAACATGGGAAAAACATTGCCATGTATAGTATACATATATCTTCCGTTGACTCCATACTAATTATAAAAAATTCTAAACATACATGAAAATAAATGTGCTACATTGCTGCCTGCTATCAGGTGGGTAAAAGAAAATAAAACACAGCCGCAATCCAATTGCAAATTGGATCCACCCATGTTTTATGGATACTACATGTAAAGTTGTAAAATTTATTTTGTTCTTGAATGTGACTCTTTTTAATTTGTACATTGTCATTGACATACTAAGTGTACAGCATCAGAATGAATTCATCTATACAGATCAATACTGTAAACTATAAAACTATTCATAAATGTGTGCAAGATTGATATGCCTGTAATATATAGCTGAAATACACTGATCAGTAAAATTAAAATATGAGACAGAAAGCTGCATCTTGGAAAAGTCAATAAAGAGTGCTTTATGACAATTAACTAATTAGGAAGTACAAATGGAGTTGTCACAATTTTACAATACACCCTTGGATACATTTCTTTACCTACTTCACAATACATTATCTTGCAGAGCAAATAACTTGTATCAAGGTCCCAAAAATGATTCCACATAGTATAACAAAGTACATATACTAATTAAGATCTAAAACACTTTTCCATCACTTTATTAGCAGCTGTAAATCTGTGTGTCTGCATGTACTGAGATAATTTTCATAATTTTACACTTACACTTTTGTGATCAATTCTATCAAATATTCTACGGTCCTGATATTGCTTAAAATTTCAACAAATTTAACCCACTTTTCAGTTATCATTGTCAAAAGTCAAAGGTTGAATATTTCCATGGTATGATTTCTACAAATCCTGTTTGTTAAAATAGAATGGACACAAATATATTATCACTTGGAAAAATAAATTTATACAAACAATTTCCTTTAAATATACTGATATATAAAGAAAATAAAATACCGGTACCCAAAATGGGCACATATATTTCACAGTAGTATATGATTCAATTTCATGTACATGTAATATGTGCAACTGTGCATCCAAGTTTTCATGGTTTTGTTTGCTTTTATTGTTATTACGCATTAAAGATTATTAATACCGAATCTCGATAACTATTTTGTTTCAGACTTACTTACTAAAGACTTACATCTTAATTTTATCAAATATTCAAATTAATTGCATGTGTAAATATTTTGCACATTCACAATGAGACATTTCAACATGTTTAAGTTAAATTAGATCGGGATCAAACGATAAACCGTAACCTGAAATAAAAAAATTAAAATAACTCCTAAAATACGTAAAGAAGACATACAAATTTTATTTCAAATATATATATATATATTAAATATGTTAAAATAAAGAAGAAAAACATACAAAACGTAGTTTAATTGCATTAAGTTTTAAAATATTACTAGCGTACTCTAAAATACTCTATCGTACTAGCGTACTCGGTTTAGTAGGACCGATAAAAAATACTTACACATTGCTATGGGGATCGGTCGGGGACTACCACACCACTACTTGTTTTTCTTGATCTCTATTTCAAAGATTTCGATCTTGAAAGGAACAGTTAAAATCCTCTCGGACTTTGCCCCATACCACCCTGATTTCCTCATATTTTCCTTTCTATGAGTAGCTACGTATAATACTTTTCATGTCCAGATCCACCCTTTGGCTTTTCTTGAAGATTTCATTCCGATGGTTTTTATAGATAATAAACTTTCTGGCGTAAGATGCTGACAAAAATCCCTACTTTGTTAACTGTTTTTCAACAAATTCGGTGTCTCTTAAGGTAGAAATTTCCTGAACAAGATGTTTCAAAACAAAAAGGAAAAATGCAGATTTATTGTCAGCATTTTGTTTACATTTTACACATTTTGTATTCTTCAATGCTCCAACAAAGGAAATAACTCGGATAGAGAAAAAGCACATTTAGACCAATTTTATTATGTCATAAAATGTTTCTTTTTCATTTACCCATAAATGTTTTAAATGATATTTGCAAAATAACATTTCTGAAATATAAATCTCCCTACTAAGATTTTCATGTCACTTGTAAAAGTCTTTAAATTCTAAGTCTGACAATGGAGGTAACGAAGACTTTTTTGGCATCAGAAAATTAGAAATTGTAAAAAGAAATTGTGACATATATTATTTTTTACACAGTTTTGATTGTCATAAAGCATATAAAAAATATGCACAAAAACGGCCTTGCCGAGTAAATTTTTCTTGATAATATTGATAAATAGCAATAATCATTATGATTTACACTTTCTAGCCCCGTTTCCATGGCAACCAGGTAAACTACCATGTCTTCTTTCGTATAGTCAATCTTTTCAATCATTGAAGCTGAATCCAAGACATCGCGAAGCCATATCATTTTGATATTTAGGTAGAATTGAAATTTAATACAAGAAATACAGTACATGTAAATGTTTTGTGTAAGAAGAATCCTACCTTAAGAAACCGCTGTTTTTAATCAGAATTATTTTCTTCCATCAATCGACTTTTAGAGAGTCTTTACTGGGAAACATTCATAATCACCTGCACTAGAATTTATTCTGTAGTAAATCATCGAAGTAAAAATGTTATTGAACTTCTTGAAATACTTTTAAAAAGAAGGGAACTATGTAAAGATTAGTGCGAAAGTGATGAAGACCTTGTTTAAAGCAGTATGAGCTGTATTTTTGAGAATTTTTTTTTTGCTATTAAAATGTGCTCTAACGATTGACTTGTATGTAATTTACACCTTTTTGATGGGTTAGACTAAAAAAAAAAGAATTAAATTGTTCCAGAAAATGATTTCTGGGCAATGGTATGTATCGTATTACATTGTATATAAGAAATCAATATTGTACAGGATGACAATAATGTAATTTTGCTTCAATCTAAGCACATAAATATTTGTTCCGTCGCATATATGAACGACAGAAGTTTATAAATGTTCTTATTTTCTATTATTAAAATAGTTAATTACAATTTTTCAATACAAATTTCCGACAGCAAACTTGCAGGTCATATTGCTTTAGAAGAATCATATCCTTTGGTCTATTGTCTGATCCATGTCTTTGACTATGAATTTGCTAGCTTTTTCAAGAAAAAAGATACATCACATTTACACTGATAAACTCGATATTAGTCATGCATGATTTCCTTGGTAGTTGCAAGTTGCAACCATATGGAAATATAGTTATTGTTGTTGTCTACCGCATGGGGTTGTGAATGTAGGACTTTAAGTTGGAGCAGTTTTACATTATTTGACAAAGCAATAAACAAAGGAGCGAGAAGGTCTATCAATTATTGGCTCAACCTAAAAACCTTTTATAAGAAAATTAGAAAATAAAACAATTAAAAGAAAACTTAAGAATATTTGGGGATAAACATAGAAAATACATCAAAATACAATTCAGTCGTTTTATTTTAAGAATTCAACTATTTCTGGCAAGCGGGAATGTAAATTCAACAAGGTTGGCTGTCACAGTCGTATGAAAATAACCTTTAAAAAGAAACATATTTAAAATGAAAGTCAATATCCATATTTCGTAGCTTTAAAAATGTAACCCAAACTTAATGTTGCATCAGCAGATTTTTTACATAAATTTATGTAATTCATTGAATATTGAAATTTTCTTGTGTAAAATTTTAAAAATAGGTTTATTTTTGGACAGAAATTTTCAACTATACACCTTTGACTCTAAGACTTTATTAATCAATGAAATATACCGAGAAAGTCAGAAAAATAACAAGAAAGCAGTTGAATTAATTTCATTCATATTCAAATTAATCGCAAAATTTGGGGAGAGAGACGATCGATTTCATTATAGACAAGAAATTCAAAATTCAGTACTTTAGTTCAAAGATACTGTTTGTTTACAAAAAATATATATGTGATTTTTCTTAATCTTTATTTAGCTTCTTAATGAAAAAGTATGAAAAAAAACATTAGTACTCAAAAGTAATGATAGAAACAAAGCAATGAAATAATTTAATACACATGTAGTGTTTAATGCATCATAAATACAATTCAACAGATTCATATTCAACAAGTACTTCCTCAACATACATGTAGAGGGAAAAGACAAACAGATTCACACTCCAGCAACTTGGAATTGAGACATATTTGTGTAAAACTTCTTAATGGTTTCACTGTCCAAGTACCAACACACCCCGTCCCCAAATTCCTTGGTAATCGCTCCCAGAGAGGTTTGTTGTCCATTTGTCTTGACCAGGTCGACATAAGCGACAAATTCACCCGACTTCATGACTATGTCAACGAGTTTACCACTGTAGTCACTGAAGATGGCTGCAAAGATAGATAATAAAACATCTTACATGTACTATAGGTTTTACTTTCCATGCAATTAGAATGAAACATATGGATATAACAGAAATAAGAAAAAAATATTACATTTATTTACAATCTTGAAATAAATCTGCATTTCAAGCAGTTGGTATTTTAACAATACATTCAAAAGAGCAAGCCTCGATTTGAATGTTTTTCACAAGACATAACTTTATTTTTTGTCCGAAATAAGAATATTAAAGAAATTACATAAGATCCCTCCACGTCATTTTTTGTAGTCGTGAATTCCGCCCAGAGTTGCAAACCCAGTGGTGTGTTAATGGCTGTTACAGTGACGTCATTAATATTCTTTTGATAAACGGGTGTTTTGGTAATGTCTCTCCTGTCGGCGGTAAAGCTCACTACCCTGCCATCTCTTACTGTGATTTTATTAATCATCTCTGTCCCAAACTGACCGTCCATACGGTAGCCTGTAATGACAACAAAAAAGTACATCATTGATCAAACCAAAATAATTAAGAATCAAATAAAAATCTTCAAAAGATTTTTTTATATATATCCATGTGCGTTTGAAAAGTAAATTTTAAATTTATGGATGGTACAGTTAATTAAAAAGAAAAAAAAACCATGGTTGTTTAGGATAACGTCATAGTAATTAATGCATAATTCATATATTTGCCCCAACTCTTTTTAATTTCATTGGCTTGATTCTACCTGGTGATGTTGATTTCAAGATGGTGTACATGGAAGATGAGCTCATAGGTAAATCAAAGCAAAGGGGTTTCGCTAGGCCAGGAAGGATAACTCCAAAAGATGGAACCTGGGATTTCTCTGTGAATATTGAAATAAATGCTGTTAAAGAAGACTACAATATGAAATAATGATAATAATAAATAACATTTATTAAGTCAAGATCTAGTAAATGAAAGGCGCCTACAGATTTATCAAACTTGAGAAATTAGTTCCTTTATTGATGCTTTACAACTTTAGCTTGGTCAAATAAGGTGTTTTCGGGCATAATTTGTTGGTAAACAAGATGAAAAACTGTGTTTTAAACTGTCATTTTCAATAAAAAATTAAGAAAACCGGTCATGAATATGGGAGTTTTTTCCGTATTCGGCAAAGGAAATATATCCAGATTGGCTACAGTCTCTCAGAAAACGGTAATTAGTATGTTCTTGGCCTCTTCTTTAAATCAATATCAAATTTAATCAAGGTATACGGTTTACTTTTCATATGATTTCAAATTGAATGACATGAAAATACCTTATTTTCTACATAATTCTGCTAAAGCCGTAAAGTACGGGAAAAAGAAAGTTGAAATTGACTATGACGTCATAATGGATCTAACACCAAAAAATAAGTCTCAAGTTATTTACTAGATCTTGACCTTAAAGAAAATGCAACAAAACTTTATCACTATTTAGAAATCACACAGATATGTTATTTCATCTTTCATGGTAATAAAAAACAAACATTTATGAGAGAAAATGCAACAAGAATGTTATCACTATTTGATATCCACACAGTTACCTAGAGTCCTTGCCTTTGGTACAGATGGCGGTACTGGTTTTGGAGTGGTGGTGGTGGTTGTGGTGGTGGTGGTTGTAAAGAACAAGGATGGTTTTCTTTGAGGTCGCTGTCGGGGGAATCTCGCGTCGAAGCTAGGTATTGTAGGTAATGAATTCCAGCTAGGTACTGACAATGAATTGCACAAGCCGAGATAAAAGACATAAATCCATTGCTCACTGTATTATATAGTTTTAGTTACTACTAGTAACTACTACTACTAGTAATAGTTCTAATGGGGAAGTAACACATCATTTTCAAATCAATTTAACAAAAACGTTTTTCTTTCTTCTAAAATTGCCAGCTTAAAAATTGTTATGAATACTATATAAAGGATTTTTAGGTCACCTGAGTAAACTCAGGTAACCTATTGCTATCCGTTTTTGACCGTCTTCGTGCGTCATCCGTCGTGCGCCGTGCGTAAACATTTGAACATTTACAGATTCTCTGCAACCGCTCAACACATTTTGGTATAAAACATCTGTGGGTGAAGGGGAACAACAATTGTGAATTTCATGGTCCTTGGGCGTTGAGGGGTTGGTCCAAAACCACTAAAATTAGTGCAATCTTTAAAAATCCTCTTCCATACTCCTGGACATCAAGCAGTCAAACTGTTTGCATGATTGTAATCAGCATTGGGTTTACTACAATTGTGAAATTTATGGCCCCAGGATAAGGGGTTCTGTTGTTAGGGTGGGGCTAAATAGATTACATAGTAAAAATGCAGAATTTCTTTGAAAATCTTCTTCTCTGCCCCTGAGCATTAAATAAACTAACCAAGTACATTGATATGTTGAATAAGACTGTCTCTTCCAAAATTGTGAATTTCCTGGCCCCGGGGTCAGGAGTTCTGGTGTTAGGGTGGGACTCTAATTCTTTTGAAAACTTCTCTGCTCCTGGGTATTAAATAAACAATCTTACCAAGTACATGATTATGTTGAATAAGGCTGCCTCTTCCAAAATTGTGAATTTCATGGCCCCAGGGTTAGGGGTTCTGGTATTAATGAATGCTAACTAATGAAAATGTATTAAGTCTTTTCCTTTGCTCCTGGTTAATATGCCAATTATCTAGGTAAATATGTATGATTGAGAAAGGTACCTTTTCTAAAATGGTTCATTTCAGGGCCCCTAGGTTAGGGTTACCGCGGGGGAGGGGGGTCACATTGTCTGAAAATAAAGTGATGCTTTCAAATCTGCTCCTTGGTTTTACTCAGCCATTTATGATGAAAAGAAATTTAAAACTTGTGATAAAATTTCCAAAATTTTGAAATATATGGCCCCAGGGTCAGTGGTTCCTGTGGGTTGGGGTGCACAACTGATGATCATAAAGTGGATTTTCCCTTCGTTACTCTGATCTACCACTGGGTATTGAGTAAACAAAGTAAGCATGCTAAGTGCATAGCTATGATAAATAATTGTCCTCTTTCATAATTGTTTTCATAGATTTTGGTTTAAAACACAAATTAAATTGAAGTGTTGGAAAGTTGTTACATGATACGCAGGTGACCTATAAGGCCCATTGGCCTCTTGTATTAAAGTTAGAATTTAGGTTACATAACTTTTATTTCAGTTTCAGGGGGATGGGGTCCTTGCGCCATCCCTTCTTGATTTTATTCTGCTTTTCTTTTTTATTAAATTGCATATCGTTGAAAGTAAAGGTCATTCAAACACATTCATGCAAATAAAAAGTTTGATTGAATTTTGTTTACCAGATATTAAATAAAAAGAAAACTTACTTGATATCACACTGAATCCACTAAGTATTCTTGGCTGAATAGCTGAAATATTAGGGACAATTTTATTTAGCTCACAAGGATGGAGGGTCTACAGTTAAAATTGGCATTGGAAAAATCTCGTAATACAAATTCTCTAAACTTTCAACTCGAATTCAGCTCTTGGATACGTAATAAACAAAAAAGAACACATTTTGATTCAGAGAGCAGTTTAAGAGGGTAAAAAATGAAATTATAAAATAAAATTGAAAGAAAGCTTCCTTCTTTATATCATGAAGTCATTGTTAAATACTTTTTTTTTAAAGTTGTATCTCCTCCTGGGATAGTTGCTTATGCTTGTTCGAAATATACATATCAGTTATATGTTTAGTTTCTGCCTAGAATAAAAAAAAATAAAAGAATATTTCAAGCTTCAAAAATAATGCTAGGACTTACTTTGTTGAACTCCAGATGAGGATAAAGATTGATAAAACATCATTGCATTACCACCTCCTATAATACAAAAAATGTGGTAAAATAAGAAAAAAAGATCACAAGTATTTTTTTTTTCAGTGGTACTATTTTCTATTAAGGAAATTCTCACTTTACCATTAGGAACTCTTCACTCAATTACGGTTACATTATTCAGTTATATATAGTTAAATAATCTTTAATATGGGGGAAATACCATTTATCAAATTCTAAAGCAATTCAATGTAAACAATGCATTATAAACAATTTTTTTTCAATAATGACAACCTTCAAATTCTAAATGAACACAATACAAGAGAATTCATTTAAGTTGCATGATAACCTTGATACATTTATTGGGAAAAAAAATTATTTTATATAGTATTACCTACCCCTTCTTGAGCTTTTCCTATTCGATCCAAATCGATTAGATGGTGGTGCTCCTAAAACAAATTTATATACAAGCTGTAAGAAAGCTTCCTATTTTTTTTTTTTAATTTTAACGCTATTCTTAAAAACAAAAACTTGTAGAAAAAAAAGTTGTGTATCTTCTGTTTTGCTTTTACTAATAGAATTGGAAAGAATATTCACGTTTTTAAAAAATATACATGTATACCATGTATATGTCAGTTATATGACCAGTTTTTGCCTAGAACGAAATAGAAATGAAAAAATATTCATGTTTTTTCAATAAATGCTAAGACTTACTTTGTTGAGAACCAAATGAGGATACCGATGGAGGAAACATCATTGCATTGGCACCACCTATAATACAATAAATGTGGTAAAATGGGATTTGGAGAAAAAAAAAATGTCATTAGAAGTAAAAATGATTCAAACACGTTTATGCAAATAAATAGCTAGATATGAATTTTTGTATCATGTGTACCATAAAGAAAAAAGGTAAACTAACCATTTGGCATTAGTTGTGGTGCAGGTGCCCCTATAATGCAAAGAGATTTATTCATTATATTCTATATCAATACTTTATTTTCTTTCACTTATTGTGACTATTATTCGTGATACATCCCTACAACAAAAATATTATTATAGTTACATGTAACTTTAGTTTACTTAAACAAGCTACAGTAAAAATTTGCTTTACTCTGTTTTACAATGAAACTTTACTTTTTTAATTTAATTTTTTTATGAGATTTCAAAGCTTAAACTCTTTTTAATTGGATAACAGTGGTGTGAAATTATTTTGAAATAATATATGAGAGTACAAGTGATGATTTTATTCAATATGAAAACATATCCATGTATGAAATGAAGAACGCATTAAGTAATCTGAAATCAAAAAAAAACTTTGACTTTCCCTTAACTATATTTAACTCATGTATTTAAAAAAGTACTAACATTTTAAGATTTTTTATAACATGTAATTAATTATTTCGTTTTTGTATAAAGATAAAAAAAAGCCAACCTCTGTTCAAAGACCAGCTAGAAGACAAAGAGTCAGTCGGAATGGATTCTGATGCCTTAACCTCACTTGGATTAGCTTTGGTTTTATCAGGCAGAGTCACCACCATAGAAGTAAGTGGCGTTACAAACTGATACTGTAATATCAAGAAATTCATCATTTTTCGTGATCATTACATTATTTCATAATCAAATTCACCAGAGATTGCATTTGTATTTACTTTTAAAGAATTTTTTTATCAAAGCAATAAATAAATTTATCTTTATTTATTTATACCTTTAGAGAGAGCTGGAGAATTTTGTCTTCTAACTTTTTGATCTCTGCCGGTGAATTGAGTGTATCTTTATCTCTTAGCATTTGTTTGATAGACAAATACGCCCAAAGTTTCTCCATCATTCCTGGATTTCTCGTGGTCACAGGGGGTAAAGGAGTGGGGAATGGTCTGGGTGGACGTGGAGGAAAAGGATGGACTGGCCATGGAATAATGATTCCGTGATTGGCAGGTATGCGAAGAGACACGCTGTTTCTACTTCCTTCTCCATTTACAGTCATGCCTGATTGTAGCTTGTTCAGATCTTTTACTTTTCCTGCAACAACCATTTCGGTACCTCTGAAGTAAGTGTTGAAGTTGGTCTCAGTAACTGTAGTGTCATAGAGTGTTCCATCAACATAGTTGAATGAGACATTCTTCAGTAAAACGGTTGAAATTTCTTCGTAAAATCCAGCTATCTGGAGAGCTGCATCTGCATCTTCGTAGATTTTTCTTGCAAACCCGTTATTCTGTGCTGCAAGTCTTTTGACTATATCAAAGTCAGCGCCTCTTCCAAAGGCAAGACTGAAAATAGGCAGTTGGGCTTCGTTTTGTTTCTTGACGTATTCTAGTATTCTTTCAGTTCTGGTTTCTCCAGAAGTGGCTTGTCCATCGGTTAGGAAAACCATCAGAGATGCTCTCCCTTTGGTTCCACTAATTTGCATTAGTTTCTGAAGACCTTCTCTTAATGAAAGATCTATATTTGTCCCTGAAGGTTGAAATAAGAACATTTTTCAAAAGCATGTGATTTTTTGGAATATTCTTGGTGGTATACAGATTGTACTATATAATTTAAATTTCAATTTATTTCTATTAGGTATCTTTACAACACACTCTTAAAAAATATGCACTTAGAATGTTTGTTTTTTTTTAGTGCAATAAAATGTGAACTAATATTAAACAAAAGCCATTGGTGCTTAGATCGTCGATATGGCCTCTGTTCTTCTCCTCTAAAATATAATAGGTTAAGAATTTTTTTTCGTTTGCTCAAATATATATAGAGAAAGTATATTAATATCATACCAGTTATGTTAATTTATTTGTGTATATAAGAAAGAAAAAAAGGTTTTCTTCCACGTGTACTGATTCAGAATTAGATCAATTCATCAGTTTTCGAAAGAAATATATTGAAAACAAATTAATAGTGTCTATTACTATCTAAAACTTAAGTCTATGATGTTTGTTTTATACATATATTTTTTTAAGTGGGTTAGGTGTCTTCATAATTAATGCTTCTCATACTTCATGGGAATGTTGATGTACATTCTGGACGCTCTTTGATTTTTTTAAATTTGATTTTGTCCCAAAAATTAAAGGACTTTGATGTGTTGAATTTGACTGTTTAGTGAATACATATTACATATAGTTTTAACTTATAATCACATATATGATATAAATTGCATTTAATATTCATACGCTAAAATACGCATAAGCTTAAATACGCATATACATATATCAGCCAAAATAACAAGCAACCATTCATATAAGATAATTGAGAAAATATGCTGTATACAGGGTTATTTTCATCCTCTTGCACTTGCACACAATTTTACCCCGTTTTAAATTCGTCCAATCATAAGTTCTGTTTAAGAAATTTTGCGGTATTCTTCGAATTCGCCCCCTCTTAAATTCGCCCAATTATGAAGAGGGCGAAGGGGGCGAAAATTTCCCAATATACAATACCTCCGCTTGCATCCGTCTTTCTAATATACTCTTTGGCTGCGTTTTTGTTTGAAGATGTTGCCTGGACAAATTCAGGTTTCCAGTACGACAGCGAAGAGTCGAACGCAATGATCAGGATCTTATCTTCTTGCCGGATATCGTCTATAATCTTATACATAGATTCTTGAAGCTGTCCCATCTTTGTCCCACTCATTGAACCACTTTTATCCAGTACAAACACGATATCCATTGGCATCGGTTCGATTCCCTTGGGTGCCAAGAAATGTACAAAATAACCATCCATTACCTGAAGATGTATTGTTTTAATAATAAAATATTCTTTTTTATGTTTAGACTTCTACTAAACAGTATACATGTAGCAATATTATTGTTAAGTTTTCTTTTAAATTCATCAGTAGGAAATGTACGTTCATTTTTATATTTTTTCAATTCTTTTTTACTGACTTGCATAGTCGTTTCTAATACTTTTGATATGAGAAGAAAAAAAACGTTTTCATAAGAATTGTAAGATTTACCAGAATATCCCCAGCATTGTCACTTCTGTCCACGTCGTACTGGACAATAAACTGACCAGAGATTCCGGGCTCTTGTTCTGCTCTGGACGGCTCGTATGAAATAAAGACTTTTGTAGGAGATATACGGTCAACCACGGCAAGCTGGTTGGTTCCTTCAAAATAGAAGAATATGATTATTTGAGTATAACTCTTTTTAGTTTCATGATATGATCAATCCATTGGCTTGCGTGATAATGTGCATATGAAGCACCGAAGGGGTTTAAGATTAAAATTATCACGCAATCCAATCGATTGATCATCATCATGAAACCAAAAGATCTGACAGTTATTTCTTATATTTGCATGCCCTTGATTCCACAAATTCACGTTCTACAACCCTTGCTTCTGTCTTTATTTGTCCCGCCCCACATGTGATGTTTTGTAAAAAATAAAGTAGTACTTTTACTATTTTGTAGTTTTGTCTAGGATAAAGAAATATTAAAATGTAAATATTATCCTTTACAGTATCACACATCTTATACAATCTACTGCCCACGATTTCTATCTCTATAGATTCAAATTCTTACTTAAGATTTCAAATATGAATATGTTCAGTTCTTGATTCTATTGCTATGTTTATTTATATATTTTTAATACCTTCAGGACCTTCCGTAAGAAGATCATTTCTTATTGGCGGGGTTTTGATGGTAGTTATATTTCTTGATTCCTTTATCAAGACGTTGATCTTTAAGTCGTCTACCACTTGTCCAGGATTGATGTAAATAACATGGTTGTATAGACCTTTAGTTCGTGTGAGAAGTTCCCGGTATGTTAACTCGAATGTCACCTTTTCTTGGGCTGCTACATTGACTTGAATTTGAAATTTATTTGTTTCTCTGGGCCTGCGAAAAATTTGTTTCAGTAATGTACGTATTATTAAGTTTGCAATTTATTGGATTGACCACTTATGGGTTGTCTCTTCATAAAAGAGAAAGATCAGGTCAGTCAGGTATTTAGAGGTATACAATGAATTGTACTCACTTGGCTACAATATGACCTGCACTCTGTCCTTTTGCTTTGGCAGCCTCAAATTCCTGTTTGGCTTGTTCCTTTTCTTTCACTTTGCCATTAATTTCTGTGCCATTTATTGTCCTTCAAAATATTTCTTCATGACAGATACCATATTTGAAAATAAACCAAATGCAAGGCAAGATCATTTCTGTTATTGGTTTTTACTTACAATTTAAATGCTGTTATGAAAGCCTCATTTGGAAGAGTTAGATCGAACACGGCTTCCCTCGCACCCGGTTCCTTATTGACAACTTTACTGGTTACTACAGTTTTGGCAAACCGGAAGTCAATTTCCGAGGTGACATGAAGGTAATATACCTGAATAAAATTTTGCATTAATTTGAAGGTTTTATGTTATCGTTTTGTTTGTTTAACGTAATTAAACGAAGTATTAGCCTCCACGTCCCACAATGGGACAATTATTCTTTGTATGCAGAATGTATTCGTCCTTATCGATAAATGTCGAGGTCAGTGTATATACCCTCGCTTGAATAGTAATAGTAATCGGTATGTCCGTCCGTCTGTCTGTACGTCATTCTGTCTATCAGTTACGCTTTGGGGTACCCATTTCTTATCCGCAGTTCCTCTCATACCACTGAATGAAATTTGATAAAAATTTCATAGAATCTTCATTACAAATTGCCACAAATTGCACCTCCTATTTTTACTTTTTGATATGACACAGTTTCCCATAATATCAAGGAATTTTATGGAAAACTTTTAGCAGATTATATATTTTTGCGCAGTATTTTAGAAAAAACAAAATAGAATTATCAAGAATCTTGGTTAATAATTTATATTAATCTTTATTGTAAAGTGATAAACTGTAAAATTATTTCTACACATTAAAAATTGGCTTCTTCGCAGAAAATTCAATTTAAAAAGTGTAAATTTACGAAAAAATCCCTCATAAATTTCTTTTCTGTCTTTAAATCCAGTATGTCAGCGTTTTTGTTAAAAGTAAAGTGAAAAATTTTTCCACTTTTTTCTATTGTTTAAAAAAAATGCTTTTCAAAACACAGAAAAAACTTTTTCAATCAATTCATCTTTTTTTATTTAATGTAGATAAAAACAATAAATCAAAATCATAAAGGAAACAAATATATCAACCATGTACGGTGTATTTTATTATATAATTCATGTTCTTAAAAAAATTATTTTTTCTTTTTTTCTTTTTTTTATTTGTTTAAGAAGTTTAAGAAGATGAATGACAGGAAGTGAATGCTTATCAAAGTGATAATCATGAAGATATTTTAAATTTAAATGCAACATTACTACGATTATGTACGTCCGTCCGTATGTTTACAATTATTTTTATTTTACATAAATTGACCACAATGGGCTACGTAAATAAACATGCGGTTACACATATAGTTGTAGATCAAGATTCCCTTCGGTTATTTTGCATTCTGAAATATAGAAAGGAGTACATTATATAGAATGTTCATTAATAATATCTATATCGGTATCAGTACTATATAGTGGTTAAATGAGAATAAGTAAAAGTAGCACAATAAAAGCTATCAAACATATAAAAAAAATTCATACAACTCCAGCCATTGAGGAGCATATTTTAATAAAATTTAAATTTCTTTCTTAAAGGATATGGTGCACATGGAACTTAAAAGCAAAAATACAAAGGAAAAAATATCAGAGGAACTGCTGCCTTCTCCAAGTCCACAATGACATCGTTCTTTCATTTTTCAGCACTTATTACTTCGTAGAGGAAACTGAATTTTGTGAGGTCTGCTGTTCGTTATAGCTTTGAACAAACCAAAAACATTCTTACATTATGGAAGTGGATAAATTACTGACAGTCACTGATAAAAACAAAATATGCATGTGTTGCTCAGTGAAAGAATTGCTGAAAGTTAAACTTGATACAGACATGAGGAATAAGTGCTTGCTACGCTGATTAGAATTAAAACCTGCGTGTAAAAATATATATTTTTCAACATATATGTATATATAATTTAAAATTCTTTATAATAAATCCATGTTTGAATGTTCTTTGAATTAAATTTAAAATTAAAACAATTTTTATATTTTAAGTTTTTTTGCAGGAAGACAATGAAAACATCCAAGTATTTAATTTGTAAATATGTATCATAATATGTTTTGTAAAGTGTTTAAAGTCTTAACATGTAAGTGTTTAGGCTCTAAACACTTTTTACATTACACGTGATGAAATTCAATGTGTTTAGAATTCGATGCATAAAAGAGTGTCACAAGAATATGCCTATAGGAAAATGTCTCACGCATTCTCAATTTATAGTCTCAATTCGCTTTAAATAATGTACCGTGTTTTAAGTTATATAATATTTCTAATAAATTTTATTTTCTGCAAGTCATATGAACCATTGTTGGTTGTTGATTAAAATACAACAATTGTTTGATTGTCTTAGGCGAAAATCGCATTTTATAGCAGAAATCGATATTTACGTTACTGTCGCCGATCATAGTGTAGTTTTTATTTTAAACCAAAAAGAAGTTATAAATCACTTACATATCTTTTTCTTAGTAAGATTGTCCTACATTTGAGTTATATTTTCTGAATACCACACCCTTCACACATACGCGTGGCACAATTTTTTTTAAAATTTTAATAAATTTATCAAATTTTGATGTCACCGCAAAATTATTACTTTTCCATTTGGAAATTCAAAAGGACTGGAAGGATTGCTGAACTGACTCATTAAGATTAAGTTGTAACTTTTTAACATCATGAACACCTGTTCCATTGCATGGAATGGTAAAAAAGACACTGCTTATCTGTATTTATAAAAAAAATAGCCCCCCTTTTCTTATGAGTCCAATGGTTAAAAAATTCATCGATATTTACGTTTTAGTATTTATTCACAAATTAAGTAAGAGAACTACACTGTTTCCTATGGGTCAAATTGCCTTACACTCGAGCATTAGAATATGCCTTTAATTAACAGTGGAATAATTAAACAACAGCATTAAAAGTTACGATAAATCTCAGAAAGATATTTACGTTACCAATATTTACGTTACCATGTTTTAAAGTAAATTAGAATTACATTCTAAAGCTGTTTGAACAAATTTGCGAGTGAATCTTGATGATTTAAAAAACTAAAAACATGAAGAAATAATCTGATTCTTAAAATGACATTTTTTTCTGTAACGAGAGTGCAGAAATGCAAATGGAAGTGTACATGCAAAGGTGAACATATTTTACACATTATCTTGTGCTTCCGTGTGATTTGAAAATTGAATTGACATATTATTCACAAGTAGAACTGTGGTTTAATAAGCGAATGTTTCCATTTTGAGCAATTGGTTTATATTGCATAGTTTTAAGTGTATTGCACGTTATCATTCGGGACGTAAATCTGAAACAAAACTTACTTAAAGTTTGTATTTTGCTGCTTGTTTGAACTGATAGTGTATCTTCAACTTAAAAAAATCGTTATATACACCTAAATTGTATACCAAGCTAAACATTTTGAAGAAGAATATATTATTTTTCATAGAAAATATAATTCCAGAAAATGAGCGCTGCGCTGCATGTAGGGGGGGGGGGTTCTTCCACATCGGATTAAAGAAAAAAGACGGCTATGGGTGTGTGGTGTCAAGAAACTGGTCGAAATTGAATCCATTTCCATTTTTGTTGCTTTGCAAGAAATACATGTATTAAATTGTGCACCTAATTTTTCCCATTTAAATTGTTGCTTAGACATAGAACTTAGAACGATCGAATGCCTCTATGCTTAAATGTACTGAAAATTCATTTTACGTTATATTAATGTAGAATGTACGTATATTGCTCTATAGAGCACATGTAATATGCAACTGCAATTATTAACAAACCTTTTTAAGGGTGGTGGGGGAAGCTTTGTTTTGTTTTTGAGATTTGACGATAAAGTTTTCACAAGCAATTAAGCATTTGATATAATCAACAAATTACAGTGTAAATGGTGGAAGGGGGTGTCATAAACTAAATAAATCCTCTATAGATAAGTCATAACTTGAAATTTCAGTGCAACCCTTTGTCAAGAGCACAGATAAGAAAATTCATAAAATTCAATAATTTGTAATATTATATTCACTTTTCCCCGAATATACTTTATTTTTGTATGATATATCTATGCGCGATATTTACGTGATATTTAACAAACACTTTTTAATCATGCAATGGCGAAATATTTTTACCTTCTGATATTTTAAATGATGTGCGTTTCTCTGAACAGATTAATAAAGAATCAAATAATGAAGCATTTTAGGGAATATTGTCATTATTTAGCTTATCGTCAGATCTGATAAAAACTTTTTAAAATAAAAAGAAAATAATTTCATTTAAATGAAAATTATGCCTGTTTTGTTTTTACTAATAATTGAATCAAAGATTGCACACCCTTTTACAAATGTGCTTAAACGGTTTCATACATGTTTATAGTTAACAAAATTTGATGTGTATTATTTTAATTTTGTATTTTTCAAAAAAATTCTTTCGTTTCCACATATGGCTTTTCAACATCACGTAAATATCTTGGTGTAAAATTAGCCCTCCAACATCGGAATTCATTTCGAAGGAGGTCAACAAAACACAGCATGAAGTATGTAAATCAAATTGTGATTTTTAATAACTATACACCTTCATGTTTCAAATGACATATAAAAGTGTTAGTTTCAGTTCACAAATTTTTTTGACTTTTCCCAAAGTCGAATTGAGACTATAAATTGAGAATGCGTGGTCTATCATCTAAACACATTTTTAGTGTACGTATAGAAATTCTCATAAAATTTGGTACCTGTTTTGGCAGTCTTAAACGTGATTTAAAGAGGATATTAAACCATTATTTTTAAGCAAAATTAAAGGATTTATCAATCTGATTAAAATTAAATTGAGGATTTTTATGAAGATTTTCGCTCCTTCAAAGAGATTATGACTGAAAAGTTCCCTACCTCAGGTGTTTTTAATTTTTGTGACGAAACGAGGCACATGAGAAATGCTCCACACGCAATAAATCCTTTATATATTCCCATTCTTCAGATTAAAACTAGATAAAATTAAGTTAAATGATATTTATATAGCATAATTTTGTACGCATTCAGTTTGAACAATAACAAAAATAGACCTATGGAAACCCCCTGGTTATCTTTATGACGTATATATTGTCACGCTGTGTGAAAACAGTTATTTATCATCTAATGTGTTTAATTTGCTTGTTGACACATTTGATTTAAACAGGTGTGTCTGCATGTAGGTATAGAATGTTTATGTCGTGTTTTAACAAAAGTATCTCCTAATTAGAGATGAAACTGAAAGGAAAACAATACACTCATGTAATTAACAAGGCGATTAAAAAAATAATGTAAATATAATAAGGTAAACTTGACTTTGGAAAATTTGCATAAAAATATTGGATTTCCAGAAAAGTAGACATTCTATGTTTGAAAAGAAAACACTTAAATTAAAAGTTAATATAAATATATACTAGTACATGAAGCAAGGGCTCAGTGCTGTTTTTTTTTTTACGATGGATCCATGGGTGATACATGTAGTTCAGTGAAATGTCTAACAGCAAAACATATGACACAATGATAATATTTCATAATATCGAGTTTTTATAATAAATGATTGGACCTACAGATCGGCCGAAAAAAAAAACTCACGATAATATTATCCTTTGGGTTATACTGTAGCAGCTGATGGAAATTGACAATCGTCATTAGAGAATTTCTCTATCCAGAAAAATATATGTAAATTACCATGATACAAATTACGATTCACTATTTTTTTAAATATTTAATCAAATACTAAAAATTTTACGTACAGGGTGTTTCACAATATATGCCACACATCTTAAGACAGACAGATAAATGACAACAATACATGTAGCTACATATACATTTTATGTATCATTTTAATCAGCAAATATTCAAAATTATTTTTTTTAATCAGAAGTATCCAACATTCTCCACTTCAGTTACTACGGCAACAAATCCTAAAATGTTATTTCTCCAAGTGTATTCCCAACATTGCCCTAAATAACTTAATAGACTAAAGCTTAGAGATTTCTGACCACTGTTTTGTAAGTTTCACGGGATACTTGAGACTTTTCTTGTTTTATATCTGGCTTTTTAGAACTTCCAAAGTGCATTATCTTTTTAAATTAAAGTTGCATGTAAATATTAATAAATGTACTTTCAAAACTACCGGTGTGCGTTAATTGGTGTCCACTTCTTTCGCTCTTTCTTTCAATCAATCTTGCAAATTTAAACCGACTCTGAATGTCAATTGGCCTTAAATGCTGAAATCTTTTTTGCAGACACACTTAGCTCAAATTTAAGATTTCTAAATACACTTGATACAATTACCGGTATTGTAACTATCCATTTTCCTAAACTCAGATCTAACGTTCGTGAGGTTTTCTCAACGATTGACTTCAGTTTGATATTGTTCTCTTCTCTTCTTGACTTTTTTTGGGGGGGGGGGGATTTAACTGCCTTTCACCTATACATTATAACTTTGTGCAAACTCTCTAATTATTCTTAATATTTCTAAACCAGACAGCAATTTCTGGTCTGGATATTTTTCATCATCACAACCTGTACAATACAAATTTTTGCTGCAAGTTATCCTCCATTTTGGGAACAACTGAAATTATGATATCACTGATTACCGGTATATCATTGGCTACTTCATGGTATATTATAATTTTCCCGATATTTTGCAATATCATAATTCAAGATCTTTATGCTTACATGTATCTATAGTGTCTTGGTATTTTCGGTATCATGCTCGATATTCAGATTATGTCCATTTAGATGTGTGACATATATTGTGAAACACCCTGTACTTATTCTTTTTTAATTTTATTATTTTTTAAAACAGATGATATTCTAATTTTTATGTATAAAAATATTTTAAAAGATAGTCTTTTAAAATGTATTCATTTATATTTCAATAATACGAAAGACATTAATATTTGTTTATTAAAATATAGAATGTTTCTAATTCTGAATAAATATCAGTGTGCTTTCAATACCTAACTAAACTAATGAAAATAAATTAATCACTTTATTTACTATCCTCTTTTTTGCTATTGACGCATTCAATCAACTATTTTATTTTATACATATTGTTTTAACAGAAGAAATAATGTTTTTGCCTCAGTATTTTAGTTACAGTTCACCATCTACTATTTAGTTGATGAATTAAAATTTAATTAAATACTGCTGAACGCATAGATGTAAAAAAAATATCGTGATGCTAAAAAGCAATTTGGAAATTCTTATTCCGAATGAACATTTTGGATTTCCGAGATAAAGTTGTTTTGAAGTTGTGATTGATAGTCTGAAGTCTAGATCTTCGACCAGGGAAGGGGTCGATTACTTTAAAAAATAATCGATTAAATTACAATTACTTTGGATTTTAAAAGTAATCGATTACAAGCTGATTACAGACATTTTTCAAAGTAATCAATTACATCTGATTACTTTTCCTTTATGTAATCATGATTACTTATGATTACTTTAGATTACATAAAAAATTTTTGTTTAATGTTCAAGAACAACGGTATGTTTTTTTCTCTTTTTTTAAAATAGTTTTTATTTATGAGGTTGAATACAGACAAAGTTTGATGATACATGTACTTATATAGATGCATGAGATTTATCTTATATCATTTGATTTCTATCTTTTAATACAAGTAAATAACTGTGTTATTATTGAGAGAGATAGAAAAAAATCAAAGTGGACATAATTATAGATAAGGATAAAAGGATTCGATAGAGGACTTTTACACAAGTAATTGACCTTCTTGATGAAAAATGAACTTTTCAATAAAGCTGCCAATTATTAGATGTTTTTACTACAATTAACAGATTGACCGGACAAGCATGAATAGTTCATTAATTGTTATTACCCAAGCTGACTTACCTTAAGTATACCTGTAATTAATTTGCATATCTTTTCATGTGCATGCAAATCAAACAATGTGGTTTTAGAATACACATCTCAATAAAGGAACATTTATTTAATTGATATTTAAAAAGATTTATAGGGAAAACAAAATGTTGCATTTAACACATTTTAGTTAATTGAAAAAAAATCAAACTTTAAAATGATCCTGTAGAAATTTTCTTTCAGTATATATATATATATATATATATATATATATATATATATATATATATATATATATATATATATATATATATATATCTAGTCAAAAATGGCAATTTGCTAAATAAGCTGCTAAAGTATTTTGAAATGACTACTGAATATAGCAAGGAAATGATATGATTTACACAATGTCTCGACAATGGACCTGATTATGAGCATTTTTGGAAGCATTAGAAGAAGATACCTAGCTAAATATATCCTTTAAATTTATAATAGCTTTTGCTTATAAACAAATTTGTACACTGAAAATTATTCACTGAATATCATCAAAAATCATGACTATATGAACTTTATTTAATTTTGTAATCATAAAGTAATCAAAAAGTAATCATGATTACAGGACTTTTTTCTGAGTAATCGATTAAATTACGGTTACTTGTAATCAGAAAAATGGATGATTACTGATTACTTATGATTACTTGGCAAATTGTTACGATTACAATTACCCCATCACTGTCTTCGACTAACATTTAAGCAGAGAAACTCCCTGAAAATCAGTATATGTCCCAAATATTTGTTATAAAAAATTCATTTTTTTGTTTTTAGATTCAAATAATTAAGTAGCAGTACAGGAACAGCGCACTAGACCGCCCGGCTAGCTAAGCAAGTCGAAAACGTGCTTTCGATTTGTATGGAATTCTCGTGGCGCTGCCCTACACTCTATGGTCATAAGATCACCATATCTCTTAATGTTTAAAATGTCTGAATTAGAATAGAATTGAATCAAATTTGCCACAAAGCAAGCTTCGATGAGTGGACTCAAATTTGTTCTAAAAAGGGTCAGGCCCCTTTTCAAAAGGATGATAATTCAGAAAGAGATAACAATTGCTATAGCATGACTTAGGAATCTTCTCAAGAACCACTAAGCCAAAAGAGTTGAAACACAGAATACCTTCTTTATATAGGGTAGATTCAAGTTTGGTCAAATAATTATCCCAGTTGGCTTGGGTCACACAGTTTTACATAGGAATATATATTAAAAAAAAATCTCTAAAACGTTTTTCTCAAGAACTGCAAAGCAATGTTTAGTCATATTGATTTACAAGCATCCTCAAGTACTTTGGACTCAAGTTCGTTTAAAATGATGACCCCGGGGATAGGACTGGATCACAATGAGGAATCAAATTTTTAGATAGAAATCTGTAGGAAATAAGGTCATGTTTAGTAATATTGGTCAGGAAGCATCCTTTGGTACTGTTGATTCAAATGTGTTCATATTAAGACTCCTGAGGATAGGGTGGGTCTACAATGGGGTATCAACGTTTTAAACAGGAATTTATAGAAAAAAAAGTCTTTTCTCAAGAGCAACAAATCCATTATTAGTCTTTTCGATATGAAGCACCCTCAGATAGTGTTATTCAAATCATGACACCCCCTGGGGGATGGGGGGAGGCACAGTGGTGATAAAAGTTTTACATGGGACATGAAGACCTTCTTATTAGACTGTATAAACCAATGTCCCGTGTCGCGGTAGGTGCTGACACGAAAAAGATCCCTCCCTGCTCAATGGCCATGAATACCGAGTATAAGACAAAATTTCCTACTCTCCATGGGCAAGTGGTGGCATCTTCATATGAGTGAAAAATTCTCGAGAGGGACGTTAAACATCATACAAACAACAAACAAAACGTCCAAATTTTATTTACATATCAAACTAAAAATTTTTTATGTTCAGAAGCATTGTACTTTAAGTATGCACATCTGATATTTTTCAACAGACTATGCACATATTATTGTCCTTCCTATGTTTAAATGTTTTGAACAACCATTTCTCTAATTTTAAGTACAGTGTAGGTTGCTTGAAAACATAGTCTAGAAAATTGTTTTTTCATATGAAATAGCTTTTGTTTTTTTTGTTTTTTTTTTGCTTATCATCGTAATAAATTTTACATTAATTTAACGTAGGTCCCAACTCGTAGAATAT